AATTAAGTATTGTATATATATATATATATATATGTTAAAAAAAGTCTTTCCTTTTTTTTTCACCAGAGTTGTTAAAGGTTATTCCTATGTTCCAATGGAAGGATTGGTGAGATATATGTTTTGAATTCAAATTGTCATCAGAAAATCTTAGAAATTGATTATTGTTCTCTTATATTCAGTTCTGGATAACTTGCATTACACTGGTGTTTTTCTTTATCTGTAAACGTAGAAAGATTATTTTAATTATAACTTGTAAATAATTATCTGTCTTGAATACGGTAAACATGGCATGATTCGAAAAAAAACGATTCTGACTGATTTGTTAATGAAGCGATTCTTACAAGAATTTATAGATTTTAAGCTAAAATATTATAAGTTCATTTTTGGGAAAACCTGATGAGGGTTTACAACCAGTAACGGTAAGGGGAGGTATTTTAGATTGGAGATAAAAAGTAAGTTGATCATTTTTAACCTCATTTTTCTATAATATATTTTTTTTAGAATGTTTAATGATATCGATTAAAACAGATTATTCTGCTTGAAATCTTTATATTCAGCTAAATGTAAACACAATTAATATAATGCAGATGGAAAATCGTGAGGGAGTTAGTGTCGTCCTTTTAACCAATGGAGATGAAGATATGACTCCTTTTGTGACATCCCATTCCGTTAAGGCAGCCATAGTGAATTCTGGGATACGAATCAACACCCTACTTTTTGGAAGCCAACATAAAAATAAGATACAGGATCTGGCTTCTATAACAGGGGGAAAATTGTTTATTGTAGAGACAAAAAAGTGGGATTTCAACATGGCTTCCTTGGTATCTGCAGCTGTCTTACAGGCTCTAGTGTCTACCAGTAATCAGGAAGAATACACTCATCAGGTAAGAAGTTAATGATGAATTACGGAAACTGTTTAGATGTTAAAACTTACTTACATATGTGTATGTATATATTTTGTTTGTTTTAGAATTTTCAAGCAAAATCAGCTATCTGTGAATAGCCTTTCCTAATTTTGACTTTTTATAATGTTCAACTACAAATGTGGCATGCCATTGTTTACTGATTATATAAAAATTGGGTTTCGATACCTGCGGTGTAATTTTTGACTTTTTATAATGTTCAACTACAAATGTGGCATGCCATTGTTTACTGATTATATAAAAATTGGGTTTCGATACCTGCGGTGCAATTTTTGGCTTTTTATATTGTTCAACTACAAATGTGGCATGTCACTGTTTACTGATTATATAAAAATCAGGTTTCCATACCTGCTGTTGGCACAACACAGATGGCCTATTGAGTAGGCTTAACTACAAACAAACCCAACCATTAAATGCAACAAGTGTTTTCAACATACCTACGTAATAAATGGTTTGAGACCGATTTTTAGTCATTTTATTTTAAGATAAAAACTTAGAAAAGAATTGTTGGAAAAATAACTTAATCTACAACAAATGACATCACCTTAAATATGATAATTAATATTAATCTAAATAGAAATTGGAAAACGTCTTTATAAGCTTCACCTGCACTAAGTTTACTGGTTTTATCCAGTGGTAAAACCTGAAAAGTTGTTTGACATCGGTTATAACGACTTCATGAAAATATTCCATGCTGCCTTTCAACGTACATTTGTTGATACATTCCTCAGTTTTTAATATTTATAAATCTTTGATATACCTTATAAAATACGTGGATGAAAACGTATTGAACTAATACTATTATAAATGGCATCAGTTACATTCTCATCATTCCTATATTTGTTTTGTGTTAAAAAAAAAGAAAACACTTCTAAAGAACTATCTGTGCTCTGCCCACCACAAATATCGAAAGGGGGGGTCGTTTTATCCTATGCATGTATATCACATCTCTATTAAAAAAATAGTATAAAAATTGGCACCTTCGTGTTATTCTAAACACGTGGATCTCAGTTTTTGGTACTTTTGAAACGTTCCCCTAATGGCTCAACGGTAAGCTTGGAGGCTTATAACGCTAAAATCCAATGTTCGATCCCCGAGATAACGACAGTACATATAGCACGTTATATAGCTTTGCGCTTAAACGAAAAACAAACACTTCTTTCAAGTTTGTCTAAACATATCAATACGATTTTCTTAACCACCTAAACAGTAAATAAAGATTTACGGTTGATATTCATATAACCTTTTTCTTGATACTTTGATTTTAAATTTAAAGAATCAGCTAACTGTTGGAAGTCTTAACAAACCTACGCTCTATGTACACTTCAATAGTTTTGCTGCGATAACCTTAACAGCGACAGCACCCAACAGAAGAAAGTACATTATAATCGTTACATGTAACTAAGATAGTTTGGGAATCATATTAGGGTTATGTCTTTAGTGCTGATCTATTTGCTTCGATCAGAACTTAATGTTAACTGTTCACATTTTACGATGGAATATATTGATAATCGCGAGGGTACTTTCTGATAAACATATGTTGAAGTGTTTATTGATTTATGATACAATGTACTTCTTCTCAATTTGTGATATACAGTTATCTTCATAAATTTATTAGCTACGTTAGTTTCGATAAAGAATCTTACTTTTCATCAGAACATATTAATGTTTATTCTATTTATTCAAAAAAATCGTGTTTATATATATTTATTGCCCAGCTGCTTATTGTACTTAATGTTTTCTGCATAGTCTACATTCTTCTGATGAAACATTAGCATTCTGGGACTTGAAATAGCCGTATGCCTTCAGACCTCCGTAACATTCCAAATTCACGCACGTACGCAAAGGGGGCGGGGGAGGGTTTCAAGCATAACACATGATTAAATTAGCTGGTTTGTTTGAAGTTAAGCACAAAGCTACAAAATGGGCTATCTGTGCTCTGCCCACCATGGGTATCGAAACCCGGTTTCTAGCGTTGTAAGTCCGCACATACCACTGTGCCACTGTGGGGGGGGGGCTAAATTAGTTGGACGTGTTTACTCTCAAATTAACATTTTACGTGTTTTCTAGCTAAAAGTAAAACTACAGAATTTATTAACATTTAATTGCGTTATTTTAATTTTGAAACAAACGTTTGTGTGCGTGTGTGTGTGTGTTTGTCAGCAATGATACATAGAATTAACCAGTAAATATATCACTCAAAGATAGAAGAACGTAAATCGATTGCTCCAAATAAGAATTTGTTTGCTTGTTTATTTCTAAGGTTGTTAAGTTGTTAGGGCGCTTGACTCGCAATCTGCGGGTTAGAATCCCCGTCCCACCAAATATGCTCGCCCTTTCAGCTGGGGGGGGGGGGGGTTATACTGTGACGGTCAATCCTACTATTGTTTGATAAAAGAGTAGTCCAACAGTTGGCGGTGAGTAGTGATGACTAGCTGCCTTCCCTCTAGTGTTTCATTGCTAAAGTAGGGGTGGTTAGCTCAGATCGCTCTCGTGTAGCTTTGCGCGAAATTCAAACCAAACACTCGGTGGACACATAAATATATGATTTTTTTTTAGCATTTTCACATCTAAAGAACTTAAAAAACACCACTAATACTTTGCTACTGCTACAATTAAGGTGTTAGAAATTGAAAAGTATGAAAGAAGCTTACAAATAGAAGAGAAGCCTCATTTATATTTGTAATATAAGAAACGATTTCTTTCTATGTGGTTTTTCGCTAGCTTGAGTCATTAAAAAGATGTGCATGCGTGCACGTATGTGGATAAGATAAGTAATAATACCCAGGTGCACACCCTCAGGGTCTACTTAGTATGGGTGCAAAATTTCAGGTTTCTAGGTACTTTCCTCTTGGAGTTATGGCGGTCATATATTCTTTCTTATCTAGTTTCTCGTTAATTTGCCTCACAAAAGATGCGTTCGCATGCACGCATGTGGATAAGTAATAATACCCAGGTGCACACCCTCAAGGTCCACTTAATATCAAAGACGGTATTTTATTTACATAAATCAAATCTTATCGAATCTTCAGTTGAGGCGTATCCTGAGCTCATCAAACTAAGATTAAATTCGTGAAAATTTATAATAAACAATAACAACACACCAAGATAGTATTGTTATAATAGTTTCATAGCAAAGCCAATCTGCTCATAGAAAGAAACCCAGGTAACTAAATTAGTAAAATAATTTAATACTTTCAAAATTTTCCCAATAGTATCTACAGAGTATTTGAAGGTTCGTAAAAAAAATACGTCATAGATTAACTAAATAACAAACAAGCACTTACACTAAAGGTTATTGCAATGGTTTCACCATCTATTTTGTTGTTGTCTTCACTTTTCAATTTGGAGATGACAGAGCTAGGGCTTTTGATGAGAAAGTTCATACGAGGATCTCCAACAGTTGGACCACTAAACACAAACTTTATTTCACCAGGATTATCCACGTATAAATTAACTACTTCAATATCAACACCGATTTGTTTCACCGAAACTTCTTCAAAAAACAGCTAGAGAGAGAAAAAAGTTTCAGATGTTTACTCAATTTATTCCTAAATTCTGTTGGAAGCAAGAAAATGTACTTATGTTTTTAAACGAAGGGAAACCAGCGAATAAGACAGGCAGCTATGGACTAGTTGTTCAGGTACAATTTTTAGAGAGAGAGAGAATAATTAGTAATAGGATCCATAATTCTCAAATTATATAAAAGATTTTGCTAGAAAACAAATAATATTGATACAAAATAATACTTTGGATATATAGTTTATCAGTAAACTACACCTGAACATTAGTCAGTTATTATATTAAAACGTATGGAAAAAATGATTTTGCGATCTTAGTAAATATTAAATATTGATCAATAAATTCTATTCTAAATTTGTCATACCAAAAAATCGAACACTTGATTTTGAAACATCTTATTAGGCAATATTTGTTAAATGGTCAAACAATCTCTGAGTACCCTTTTTAAGGAGACTGTATTGCATACTATCTTCACAGGGATCTTTAAGTTTGGTTTTATAGATATAATTACTTCTATTTTTGTTATTGTCCGTGTTATTTTGTTTAATATACTCGTGTACTGTGTTTGTTTGTTTTTGAATTTTGCGAAAAGCTACACCAGGGCTATCTGCCCTAGCCATCTCTAATTTAGCAGTGTAAGACTAGAGGGAAGGCAGCTAGTCACCCACCGCCAACTCTTGGGCTACTCTTTAATCAACGAATAGTGGGATTGACCGTCACATTATAACGCCCCACGGCTGAGAGGGAGAGCATGTTTGGTGGGACGGGGATTCGAACCTGTGACCCTCAGATTGCGAGTCGAGCGCCCTAACCACCTGGCCATGCTGGGCCATCGTGTACTGTGTTAAAATGGTTTATGTCCATGTCTGGTTCATTACGTGTTTTAAATGTTTCCTCTCAATTGTTCTTTAAAACTGTGTTACGTCTCCGTTTGTTAATTGATTTTCCGTAACTTCGTTCCGATGAAACTTAAGCGACACAAGTCCTTTCTTAATAAAACTGGTTTATTCTTTCCGAATATAACTTTACCGATACACTCAACTTCAACAG